CCCCCCCCAAGGATCAGGCGAGCTGCACTAAACGCCCAAGTGGCTTCGCTTAGGAAACACTCAACGGCGGCTGATGATTGGCCGGGTGGGTGATCCGCCGGAGGCAGCCCGCACGACGGACACTCTGCTTCAGTTTCCTCAGTCGAAATCAATACAGGATGGAACTCACGTCATGGAAAACTCGTTTTCATATTATTATTTTCTATAAAACAAGCTTTTTTTAAAAAATGATTTTTTCGTAAAAAATAAGGGTTTATTCTTGCTTACAACGCGAAATAAAAAGTTAAATATATTTCAATGGGCGAAAATTAATGTGCGATGAAAACTAATTTATCATGCGAATATAGTTTTGTGTACCATACTGCTTAATAACACAGAAACGTTAATTACTATAATTTGTATTGAACTGTTGTCGGTGCGATGGTTAGCGTATCGGACTGTTGTACCCAAGCTTCGGAGGGGAACTAAAGACGGCTGTCCCATGTTAGTAGATGTACCTGCATGTAAAAGATCCTCAAGCGTAATTGACGCCTCTGAGCTAAGTTCAAATCGCCTGTTTCTCGCCCAAAAATACCTCCTTTCTCTGCTAGTTGGTGAAAGGAGCGTAGCGAAATTTGCGTGGTCAGACGGAAGAGCGGACTTGATGGCCCGAGTCTCGCCACGTAAAATAAGGCATCAATTCAATTCAATTCAATTATTGCTGCACGTGAGCATACTTACCGCACCCCTCTCGCGAGGTCCGTTCAATTGGAACATGGGAAACAGGAGGTTCGTTTTCCAGTTGTTGTACGGCGTGATCTTGCCTCGGCTGAGGCGCGTCCGAAGTTCGCCTGGAAAGCGCACCGTCATCTGGAACAGCAAGGAATGATTTAAATAAAGCTGCACGCGGTTGACACTCCTGTCCCCGCTCAGTCCCGGATGTAGAATACCAAAACACACGTTGTGAGCTCGGAAAATAGACAGAAAGAGAAGGGAAAATGATGTGACTCTGACACTTAAAATGGGAGCAGTCAATTAACTGGAACGTCGGGCGCAAAGTGAGTATTTGTTTCAAACTTCTTCGGTCATTTGTCCTGTTAGTGGAGTTAAGAAGAGAAGTTATATTCCTGGAGGGGGTGATCTTCCTTCGCTAGAACCTCAGATAACCAACCAACACGTCCGTTACGAGTTCCACCCCCCACCGCCCAGCGGGGTCCTTTCCCAGCCATGAAAAACTCTGAGCTCCCGATTTGTCTCCCGACATGATTCCCGTCAAGTGAGGTAGTGTAGGTCATGTAATTGTGTGTGTGTGTGTGTGTGTGTGTGTGTGTGTGTAAGGGAAGGGGAGAGGACAAGGATGATGAAGGAAACATTGCGCGTGTTCCGTGCTTCTTTTGATTGCCGAATATTTATCAGAATACAAGGGTGGGACGATCGCAGTGACGTTAGGTTGGTGGCTTCGCGTTTCACGCATTTCGGGGCATGAGAGAAAAAGGAAAATAGATTGGGATCTTGGTCACAATGTGCGTGTGTTGTAATGTGCACGGTGTGGGGAGCGCGCAATGTGGGTAGCATAGAGGCTTGACGCTCTTCGGAGTGTGGAGGAAGAGGCAGAACAACAGATTAGGGTCTTGAGAGTCATGATAAATGAAGATGGTATCCAAAATGTGCAATAAGGGTATCCTATATATTTGCGATTTGAGATACTTAAGCTAGATGGGAGACTGGTCAGCTACGGATCTTATGCAACATGTGAATATGAGAATCTTGAAAATGTAGAAGGGCGGGAAGGGAGCATTGTAGGTAGATTACAGGCTTGAAGTTTCAGGTATTTCGGAGAGTGGGAGACGAAGGAGAAAGGAAAGATTGGGGATTAAGGAGACATAATAATGAAGATGGTATCGAAAATGAGCAATTTGGGTATTCTGGATGCTTGAGTTTTATCGCACGTTGGAATGTGAGCTAGATGGGAGAGTGGGCTGCTTCGGGTCTTGTGCAACATGTGAATATATGAATCTTGGGAATGTAGAAGAGTGGAAAGGGTGCATTGTGGGCAGATTAAAGGCTTGAAGTATTTCGTGGGGGATCGCGTGGGAGATGAAGAAAGACCAAAATCGAGATTTAGGAGACAAAATAATGAAGATGGTATTCAAAGCGGACAATACGGGTAACCTGTATGCTGGTGGCTTGACAGTCTTGAGATTGGATCACGTTTTGAACGAGGTGGACCAATGGGCAGCTTCGGGTTTTGGGCTTCAAGTGAATGTGAGCTCCATAGGACTGCGTGGGAAGCGCTCAATGCGGGTTGCCTGGAGTCTCCATCGGAGGCTTCATGCATTCGGAAGTACGTGTAAATGTGTCCTCTGCGGGGGCATGCGAGCGCGCAACATTCCGTTACCTGCAGCTCCGGCGAGCAGAGCGTCGGGTTGGAGGGGTTTTCGGCGTCCTGCAGGGTGATGCCCGCCCAGTACAGTGTCTTTCCTGGATCGGCGTCCAAGTGAGTCCGGCTGGCGATTAGGAATTTCTCCATTTCCTCCGCCGAATGAAACCCGTTCACTGCACAAACAACATTATTCTAACCTACACTTTCGTCAACTTTAATTCGTTTTATGTGCAAATAATACATTATACTATGAAAATGCCTTGTGGTCGTATTCCTTTGAAAATAAAACTAATAAGCGTAAATTCAAATTCGAATTGAATCCAAATTAACGTTAATTTTGATGAATATTATAAAATAAGTTAGTAGT